GTATGTTGTGTGTGAATGATTTCTGTCAAGTGTTAGCTAGATCTCTGACCAATAAAGGAATGAATGAATGAATGAATGAATGAATGAATGAATGAATGAATGAGGAAAGGAAGGAAGGAAGGAAGGAAGTTAGTTGCTAAAGGCATTGGAATGATGAGAAGCACCAGGGAGGGACTTTGCATGCTAGGCAGGGAGGGCAAGCCTATTAGAATTTCCTTCCTGCTGCTGACCCCTAGAAAGTCTGCATAAATCTCAAAAAGGCAGCACCTGAAGACTCAGAGAAGTTGAAAACAGAGGCAGATAAAGAACAGAGCCAGAACTTGAACAAACTCTACAGGGTGAGATTCCCTTGGCACCCTTTTTTCTCCCATCTGTACCCCACAGAGGCCCAGAGTAGAACTGAGTACCGGGCCAGCCAAATCTAGGACAGAAACTCAGTCTTCCTGGCAGAACACAAGAGGCTTTACAAGCCAGAGGGTGTGGGGGACATTTGTTTTGTTTTGTTTTTCCTTCTGGGCCCTGCTCTGAGGATGACTCCAGCCAAGCAGCTGCACTGCGGCAGCCCTGGCCCAATGTGCACCTGAACCCTAAGGAAAATCCATCTTTCTGACCAGGGGGAGGGGCCCCAGGGGTCTAGAGAGTGTGTATGTGGGGATCTCTGTTTATTATTCCTCTATTTTCTCTCATTGCATCACCCCTAAAACAGTCCCATTTAAGTCGCATCATAAGATAGGTTGGGAGGCTGAAATTCCAAGAGAAACCACATGTTTTGAGTCAAAGATCCAGGAAAGGCAGGGCAGGAGGTCTAGGAAATGTGGGGACATCTCAGGGAAGAGAAATCTAGGTGGCCTTCCAATTCCTGTCCGTGAATGTTCACAGCAACTTTGGTCTTAGTCACCAAAAAGTGGAAACTACCCACACTGTGCACAAACCGTGCTGTATTCATACATTAGAATATCATTCAACAAGCAAAACAAATGACTGATATGCACAGTAACCTGGGTGCATCTTATATGCATTATGCTATGTGAAAAAAGCCATACTTAAATAGCTACATGGTGCACAATCCCACTTACATGACAATGTGAATCCAGCAAAATTGTAGATACTAGAGGACAGCAGTGTTTGCTCAGTTTGGAGGGTGAGGAGGGGTTGGCTATAAGCTGAGCAGTGTAAAAAAATATTTTGACTCAATGCAACTATGTTATCTCTCATTTGTGGTAGTATTTACCACAAATGGTATTGTGGTAGAACACAATGGTATTGTCAAAGCTTATAGAACTCAGAGCAGAAAGGACATATTTTATTGTGTCAATGAGAAATCAATAGTAAAATGCAATAGAATGATTAAAAAAATGATGAAATTCAGGAGACCTGGGATTTTTTTTTTCAGAAGCTTCATTCATTGTTAAAGCTAGGTGGTGCTCTTCAATTCTTGTCAGTTTTTGAATTTTTCCTTCATGTGTATTGAACTGTTTTTATTCTGATCCCAAACTTCACTGGCATTTGACAGAGGATGGACTGATAAAATGAAATGTTTATGTTTTAATTCAGAATTCAGAGGCATTGGATTTTAGCAATGGATACTGCTGCTCAGAAGTCTGATGATACCATTCACATTCCAAGGTGGGATGCCTGTGATGTCTTGTCCTCCTGGTCACTGTCTGGGTTTTGAAATGTCCTGATAATATCCCTGTACGTGGCTCTCCTTTCAGGTATTACACTGGTATCTATAGACCCTAATCTGCACACCGGTGACTTTAGTCCTGGGGTATTTTCCTAATCACTTTCATACCCTCCCCTCTTTTCCCTCTATTTTCTCTTCTAGTTCTCTTATTATCCACATACTAGCCTTCCTGGCATTTTTTTTCTTAATAATTACTTCTCTTCCTTGACATCTGAGGTTTGAGTGCACTTTTAGAGACATTCCTTTAAACTTTCTTCCAAAGTTTTAATTCAGCTTTTCCATGTTTAACTTTCATGAAGTCTCCTCCCCAACCTCCTGCTTTAATTATGTTTTTCTAAGCAAAACTTTGTTTAATAAATAATTTTTTAAACCTCCTTGAGGTCATTATAACACTTTCCCTAATCTGTATTGCTGGTGTCTATTGAATTATTTCTCTTTTTTTATTTGGGTCCTCTTAATTTTTGAGAGGCATGAACTAAAACAGCTGCCAAAACCTTTGTACATGAGTATGGCTTGTTGGTCCGTATGCTTCCTCGTGACTGTCTCTTCCATGGGGGATCCCCACCTGCTAGTTTCTGGAGGTACTTTATTTGGGGCCCTTAAAGCTCTTCTGGAGAAGAATGCCTGATTTCCTGCAGGGGGGGCATTCATGATGAGACCCTTGTTTTGGAGGGCAGAGCTGGGGAGATCAGCTAAGGCAGCCATACTTCAGTCTTGCTTCTCACTTCCTCATGGTTTCCACCTTTGCCTCCCATCCCACCTCACCCCTGTGCTCAGAGGGTGCCTGAATCCACCGTGCCTGTGTTCATTTTCTCCAGAGAATAAACTTCTGAACACTCGGCAGTGCAATCCACCACGTGCAGGAAGAGAAACCAACACCCTGATGCATGATATTGAGGTAGAAAACCTGGATTTCTCTGACGGTTAATTTTATGTGTCAACTTGTCTGAGTCACAAGGTACCCTGATTTGGGCTGAAACCTTATTTCTGGATGCGTCAGCAGTATTTCTGATGAATTTAGCATCTGAATGGGTGGACATGATCAGGCAGATTGCTCTCCCTTAGGTAGGTGGGCACCATCCAATCAGTTGAAAAGTGGAGGGAGGGAGACTCCCTTCCATCTGCTGGACCCCTTGGGTTAAGAGACCAGTCTCTGCCACTCCCAAACCTGGACTAGGATTTTCACCATCAAACCTCTGCACTTGAAGTGGGTCTAAGCTGTACCGAGTCCAAACTTTTGGTTTTGTTTCTCTGAAGCACTCCTGACTAGTTACAGTCTCCAACCACTTTTTCCCCCCAAAATTTCAGCTAATTCCAGGATTTCAGCTTTGAACCTTATCCCATCTACCCCTTCTTCACAATCCCTAAAGCTTGTGAGAGCTCAGGCGCTGCGGTTCTCTGCAGGGCAAATGAGTTTATGTTGTTACCCCCCTCTGCCAACCGACACTTTGGCTGTAAATTTCTCCGCTGAACAAAGCCATTTGCCTCTCCCTGCCAAATACGGCTTCCAAAATTGTGTCGAAATGTCTCCTCTGTCATTTTTTTTGCTCTGTTGTTTAATACCCTTTTTAATGTCTTTGCCATCAATTTAATATATTTGGGGATAAGCAGTCATTAGCCACCACTACAAAACATTTTCCCTCTGCTATCATCTGCAAGAGTCTTCTTAAAGAAAAAAAAATCCAGAGAAAGAGACTCCTATGGGCATTTATTCAATTTCCAATAAAGCTTAATATTATTTTTAGTTACATATAAATATGTAATGTAAGCTATGCCAGGCACCTAGGCTTGGACCATGAGGATGCTAACAGGTAAAGACATTGACAATAGTCATGAACCTAACTGTACAATTCTTCCTCAAGTTCCTTAAGAATGAACTCTTCCATGATCATTGTGAGTAGAGTTTGTTTTTTTCTCTCTGCACATTTCTTGTACATTATAAATTTCTGCTGCAGTGTTTTTTACATTGTTCTATAAACATGTGTTTGGCGTGAGGTCTCCCACGGGAGACTGGAACTGCCAAAATTTAGAACCATGCTTTATACATCTTTGCATTACTTTTGCCCCTGACATTAGTGTAGCCACAAGTGTGTCTGCTACAAGGATAATAAAGGTCTCTGGTGCCCCTTTCACTGGACCATGTTTTCCCTGGAGAGTGAACAGTCCTCAGACCAGTGGGGAAAATCTGCTGAGGGCATCATTAATGAACAAGCATACCCCCAATTCAATAGACATCTGTCATGCATTTCACAGAAGTTGTGCCTTAAGAAAAGAAGGTGTGATTTTGCCCTCAACAGCTAAGAGTCCTGCTACTTGGGTTTTTCTAATCACTTTAATCACACATCTCCAATTTAGTACAGGTAATTTTTAACTTATTTTTTAAAAAGACCTAGACATTTTAATATGTCATAAGAGTCCTTCAGAACTGAAGTATTTTATCATCTACTGATTGCTTCAGTCAGTGTGTGTATATGTGGGGTGTGTGCATTGGGGGGTGTATGGAGGTGAAGGGCGATTCATTTGGCTGGGTAAAGTATGGGGGGCAAAGGTAGGTTTACACTTGGTCAAATGAAAAACATAATAACTAAAAATAATAATGCAAGTTCTTCATGTACTTACAACTGTAAACCCACTTTTGCCCCGCCCTGCGTAATGTGAAAAATACTCATATTTCTATATCTAGACTCAACTGGATATAGAGGAATGAACAATTGCCATCTAACTTGGCTGAGAAATAATGTTCAATATCCTTTTAAGTATTATTATAATTGATCATTTTGAATTGGAAAGAGACTTCCTTTCAACTTATGATCATTTGTCAACAACAAAAGCATACAGAAAATGAAGACATTCTACCAAGAACCCAATAAAACTGGTAATAGTTATCCAAACATTATCTCCCCTATTTATTTTACAGATATTTGCAGCTTTAGGGCAATCTGATATATGTAAGACTAATATTTTCAAAGAGATTAAGTTAGAAGGGAATCACTCTAATTAAAATTGTATCTTGCGTCTCATGAAAGGATTCACTGAAGGACACATTTAAATGTAAAAAACTCGTGCTGTAAGCATTTGTTCAGATCACTAAATAAAGAGATGCAAAGCTAGGCAAGCAGGAACAGAGACATCAAAGCTTAAATGGCTTGGGATGCATCCAGGGAAGTTTGACAAAATAATATCAAAAATTTGATTTACATACACATATCTAGCAACTTATTCATTGAGACTGTCCTGGCTGGGATAATTTCTCTGATTTTCATTTTAATTGCTTACAATCAGTTCTTTGGATTGACTGACAAAACATGTTTACCTCGAAGTGATTCTATGAATCGTGGGTATTGGTATATCACTTGGAGTATCTTCCACGGTGGTGATTTGGGTTCCACTGCTTTTCACACAAGCATATTTTGTGCAGACTTCAACCTGCCAACAGTAGTTTAGAAGAGTGTAAATCCAACTACTCTCAAAACCCGGCCTGCCCATGACCGAATCTCACCAGCCCTCATGCCATATGAATCTCTTAACAGCCTCTTGGGGTGGATGTAATGTTAATTTGTCTTTTGATTCCAGGAGGACAAGCTCAGAATAGAGTGCAGCAATGGGCTTAGGATCACTGATGTAGTGACTTAGCTGGTGATGTTTAGACCCTGTTACCAACCATTCAGAAAGAGATTGACACGGTCATCTATTTGTTGCCCAGGTAAGCACTGGAAGATGCCAAGGTGACACTTTATATAATAGTACAATATGATAATATTATACTAAGTGATCACTAAGTATAATAGTGATCACTATATACTGCCTTCTAGATCCATACCCAGGTAGTATAATAATGGTAGCTTCTGGAAGTCTTGACACTTTGCAACACATGGCCTAAAAAGGCTGATCTCCAATGAAAAAACGAGGCCAGGACAAGCCTTCTGGTATTCTGAGCTGCTTTGTATCCATTTATTCCAGCTGCAATGATATTTTTACTTTAATCACATCAGAAACTCATCATCCATCCCTTTAATTCTGCCACCTCATCTGAATAAAAACTGAGGAGGGTGGAATAACTAAAAATTAGAAATTGGGTTCATCGAGCATTAGTAGCATAAGAAGAACATGTTCAGCAAGGAGCGGGGAGAAATGAAGGTACAGATTGCTGCTGGAACATCTAAGAAATGACATCATTCTATTCTCATTTAAAGGATAAACCAAAAAGGAACTGCCCCGCTTTCAGCATTAATGGACTTCCACTTATTTGTGACATATAGTATTTTGAGGTAAAATATTTAGTAGATATTTAAACACTATCAAGTATGCACTCTGAGTATGTCCAATTAAACCCCAAATAACCTAAAGGCAGATGAACTTAAAATATACTTGCTGGTAATAGAAATAAAGACAATAAGACTTCATACATATTAGGAAATACTTGACTCATGAATAATGAGATAACACAAAATCAACTCAACTGAATGTATTATGTAAATTGTACATGCCAAATATTATGATGGGTACTTGCACCAATAATAATCTGATTGAGTCCTCACAATTCCATTTTTTTATATTTGCAAATTGGGGGTTGGCAAAATCAAGGACTAGAATCAAGCTGGTAAGATCTGAGATACCCACGGTAGCTTTCATAAACTCTCTTGCCCTAGAATCTACAAAATAAAGTCTGACTTTAAGTTCTAATCTACTGAGGTTTTATTCAAATGAATCTCCAGACATTTTCTTGACTTTGGAGAAATATATCAATAGTTTTATCATCCTTACTAATTTACTATTCAAGTTCTCCACCTTTGGGGCATATTTCTGATATTACAGGTATCTTGTACGGCATGTGAACAAAACACAAAGATAAAGATTTACATTAAAATATAAATCGAAAATTAAAATTAGTATTTCCTTTAAAAATACATAATGGATGCATTCAAAAAAGTTGATATTTTTATACATCTTGATGTCTGCTTCAGAATCAAGGGCTATTATACAAAGGATTGTTAGCATAGAGAATTTTAATCCTACAGTATTTACTTGGCAAGATTTATTACAAATAAGTGATTTGCCAAGAAGAATATTGTCATCATCTTCATTGCCATTGTTTTCCATCTTATTATCATTCTCTTTTCTCCAGAGATTCATGTGTTTGCCCACAGCACACAGATTTAATCCTGATCCATGCCCCTCCTCTCTCTTCCCTTCCCCACCAAATAAATCATCTGTAACCAAGATGGAAGCTACCTACTTAGAGGCCTACCCTGGCATGTTTTATTTAACATGCCCATGAGCTTAACTATCACAGGACGGTGTTCTCACCTGAATGTCATAGACAGTGAAGGGAGACAGGTCTTGGAGAATGAAAGACCCAGGCTCATTCATTCCAGCCTTGTAGAGCTTACTATTTACATACACAGAATAATCAGTGACAACACCATTTGGGTGTGAAGGAGACATCCAGGTGACACGTGCAGCTGTACTGTTGATGGTGACAACCTCTGGAGGAAGCACGCCCTGAGGCTCTGGAATTCGAGGAAGAAAGGGAATAAACTCCAGCTGTCTCTGAAAAAGCACTTACTGAACTAAATGCAGATTAGTATTTGGGTTTTGAGAAGGGTTCGCTGTTTATCGGCTTTCCTCTGATGAAGTTATCACAGGCCGTCATCCTCTGAAAATTGGCTTATTATACTCTCAGTTAGAAACCATAAGAATTGCTGGTAAAAAGCTTCCTACCACCAGCACAGCGCTAATCTTCAATACTATGTGAGCAGTGGGATATAATGATAAATTATTCACCCATCTGTACCACTAACACACATCTATTATTTGTCTCATCTCTTATCCCTTTACTCTGTATCTCCTGGTGGGGGGAAAATAAAGGAAAAGAAAATTTGCTCCTTAAGCAAAAAAAAAAAAAAAAACCCTCAAATACACTCAGGCTGGTGGAACGTGAAAAATCATTTGATGTTACTAGCTTGTAACTCAAGCAATATGAAGCAATAATGCAATATTGTCATTATGTAAATGATTTTGAATGTTGATTACCATAGGTAATGATGAAATCTAACATTAGAAAAAAAATCTTGCTTGGCGTTAAATTACACAATTATTCAAGCATGTCAGAAATAACTATGCGAAGACCTATTTTTATCTTAAGAACCCATCTTTACTAGTTGAAAAATTGCCCTTGTGATCCATTCTATTTTATAAACAAAAGGTGTTGACCTTTGGCACCACCAAGGGAAATAGGCTCCACTCAAAGTGCCCCCTGCTAATGACCTGGAACACTTGCTTGGGAGGTAATGATATTATAATGTTTATAATGAGACTTTATAAAGCCAAAAAGATTAGAAAGACCATTCCGAACTCATTTCAGATTCACAAGTTGCTTCTCTTGCTTCCTCCCCCTTGCTAACTGGCTTAGAAATGAGTCACGGGCAATTTTTCTCTGGGGCTGAACTTCCACCTACCATTCCTGGTGACTCAGGGAGGGCCCTTGCTGGGCTGGGCTGTCGTTTTGAAAAGCATACTGCTTCTGAGAGCAGATCTCAAAAAAGAAAAAAGAAAAGAGTCTCTAAATGTCACCATTTATTGGTGTGAACTCGGCTCCAAACTAAGCATACACAGAACAGAGCAGGAACAAACTGGGCTACTATCCCATTATTAGGGCCTCGCACTGCTGTCTCAATGGGACCGCTTATTGATCCACCACTTGATGACAACCAGCACTTAAGCATTGGAGCCTCGATCCCCTTCCTTCCAACACCGGAAATTTTATAATGGAGGGATGACTGATGTCAACCGCAGCAAGAATCAATCAATTTCCTTCGCATCCCTGAAGATGAGCTTCCCGTGAAATCGGGACTCACCCCCATCACAAGTAGTTGCGTGCAGCACATCACTGTTGACGCTGTGGACTCCATTGAAGGCAGAGATAAAAATTCGATACTCCGTGTTTGGGTGTAAGTGGCCAATGACATGAGAATTTACATCTGGGAGGAGTTTGAGAGATTCGTTTGAGGTAGCAGAACTCCAAAAAAGCGTGTAATGTTCAACATCACCTTGTAGGTCTTGCAAAGCTGTTAACAATAAACAGAACACCGTAAATGTGGCTCGCCTTACAGGGAGGGCCTCAGCGGGAGAAAGACCAAGTAAGCTTTGTTTGCTACTCTTAGAATGGGACCAAGGAAAGCTTATGGGACCTACTTTACAGTTTTAAGTTTTTTGACAAAGTTGAATTTTCTCCCCTCACCCCATAATTTATTACATAGAGTCTTACCTTTATAGGATCATGAACTCATAAATTTCCTTTAAATATTTTAACCATGCTAGTTATAAAGATTCAACTAATCTTCAAAACTATGATATATTACTGAGAGTAAAAGAAAAATTGTAATACATGGAAGAGCTTCTGTTTATAAGTAGCATTCCTAGAGAGATGTATCTAGGTTAATACAAATAAGGATCTTGTGTTAGGTTCTCTTGACATAGGTTCTAAAACGGGAGAGATTTTGTATCTCGCTAACGAGATCTGTTAAACACACTTCTAGGGACTATTCGGTGGGTTTTGTTGCGTATGCCATTGCTGTAGCAGTGGTCCAGAGCACTCTCCTTAAAGATTCACTCAAGAGAACCATAGGGTATTATCTGAATTTTTTACTGACGCTCTCAGCCATTTCCCCTAGTTCACTGTGCCTTTGTGATGTAGGCAAGCTCTTCCAGAAAAGCCAAAATCCCTCAGTCAGTCTCACAGCTATAACTCCTCAATACCTCAACCCTCGGCCTTTCAAATGCCAGCCTGTTACTTTCTTTTTTCCTCTTCCACCCAGTTTCTCCAGTCTTGCCCTAAGTTCTGCTTCCCATGATCTTCCTACAGGAAAGCTCTAAACAGAAAACACAGAACAGCCGTATTTTCTTAGGCAGGAAATCGTATACTGCTCTACTTACATTAATAGTATTTTTAACGGCCTTAAGCAGTAACTCTTACGTTGGTTTGTGCTAGGGTTGGGAGGTGGAGTGTTGGTTCACAAGCTTCCTGGAATTGTATGTGGAAACAGTTTAACAGCACGGATCAAACACTGGGAGGGAAAGGGGGTGTTTCTCTTTACGGTTATTGAAGTGTAGTTGCTCTAATGTGTGAGTTCCTATGGCCATATAGAAGCATATGGCTTGAAGAACCGGTGCGCCTTTCTTTTTTAAGAACCCCCATTCAGAAAAGGACCTCTAAGCATACCACTGCTTTGACCTTGTCTCCAGCAACAGTTACAAAGATTTTGTATGCTGGTATGGTTGAGAGTTTATAATAGGAGATCTTTAGCAACTTATTTGGAGAACTCTGGTGATCGAGATGTTTTTTTCTCTGATGTCACAAAATGTTGAAACCTTTGGTAAGGAGGTTCTTACTGTGCATGGGCAGGAATAAGCTATTCATGCCCATTAATATTTTCCCAAATGATAACATAAGTCAATTACAGCGAAGCCACTGGCATTATGAGAGTGAAAGTTCTCTGTCCTTAGAACTACCTTCTGCTGGCTACAGCAGTAGCTCTCTGGAAGCTGAGCTATAATGGAAAGTCCACTAGATTGGAAGTTCACCTTGTGTTTTCACTCAAGTGAGCAGTCTGGTTAGAAGTTCAAGCCCTAAAGATATAATATTAATGAACTGCTTTTAAACTCTATTCACAAATATAAATGGATTTTACCTGGGATATTAAATGCATCTGATATCTCCTTTATCAAGTTGTAATTAATGTATTTATATATGTACAGGGAATAAGGCAAAAGCAGGTTTACAGTTGTGAGTACATGAAACAGTTTATTCTTATAGTATGATTTATTAATTATTGTATTAGCTTCCATTAGAACAACTCTGAACCTACTTTTGCCACATCGTGTATGTTGAAAATGTTGTTCAATGTTAGCACCATAAATTCGGGATAAGCAAATACCTGGATGAAATGCCACTAACTGCCCATTCTTAGCCACACACCTAGCCGCACATTTTGGGTGGTGATCTCCACATATTGTTCAGGAACATGGTCTTAACTGTAGCCAATTCTCACATATTGAACAGGTCCTTCTCCTCTATAACAAAGTCCCAAGTAATCCAAAACAGCTGTTAGAAAAGCTAGTTCAAAGTTGCCTTGCAAAAGCAACTGGGTTATGTTCCTCACATATTATTGGATCATTCTGAGATTAGCATTAACATTAATTATGTCTCTTGGTCTTTCCCATCTAGATCAGGGGTCAGCGAAGTAGGGCCCATGAACCAAACCTGGCCTGCAGGCCAAATCTGGCCGGCCAGCTGTTCTTATGCAACCTGTGAGCGGAGAATGTTTATTACATTTTTAAATGGCTGGGGGGGAAGCTCAAAGGAGAAAAGTCATTTGTGATACATAAAAATTACATGAAAACCAAACCTCAGTGTCCACCATCGATTTTTATGGGAACACAGCCAATCTGGTGTCCCGTACCACTGTTATCATGTTACAGTGACAAAGCTGAGTCATTGCTATGGGGACCATACACAGCCTGCAAAACCTGAAGTCTCTAATTTTTGTCCTTTCCCAGTGCTTTCGTGGCCCTTACCGAGAGCAATCACGGCAAACACTCCCATTCAACAGGTCTCCTAATGGATGTGCGTTCTCACCAGCTCACTGGGAAAGAATGTTATTTCGATGTGAAAACCCAGAGCAGCCCTATCATGTGGTAGATGTGCTCGTGGGCCCTCAGATTAGAGTCCAGTTCTACAGGTTCCATGGTGCAGAGCTCTGTATTGTCAATGAGTACTTCTTGGGAAATGGGCGCATATCGAAAGTACATGCAAAAGCATGTTCTGTTTTTTTAAATTAGAAATGGCCTCTTGATTTTTTTCATCTTTTGTAAAACTGCTGTTGAAAGCACTGTGAGTGCTCTAGAGCCAGAATCCTCCACAGCAGTACTAAATGATGACTGAGTGCTAACACACTGTTTCATTCAATCCTCATCACAATGTTTTGAGGCAGCTCTTACTATTATTCCCATCCTTTGGCTTAGGAAGATAGGGTTTAGTGAGGCTGAGTGGCTTGTTTTAGGCTGAGGGGTGAGGAAAATCCTGGAGCTGGGATTCAACCTCAAGTTTTCCTGATCCCAAAACTGATTATTTAAACCATTTCTTCACATGGCTCCATCAAGTTTTGTTGTTTTTCTAGTTAGGAGACTTTGAAACAGTGACAATAGATGAAATCACCAACAGGAGAGTTGGACTGTGAAAGGCGACTCAAGAAAGAACCTTGAGGCGAGTCTTTATATAGGAGATGAGGGGAAGGCGTGGTTACCGAGACAGGAGGGGTCGTTTCTAGTGACCACTGCCCCAGAGACACAGACCAGAAGGACCAGAGAACAGGCCTTTGGGTTGGGCTGCTAGGTGACAACAACTTCATGAGGGACAGGTCAGCAGAGTATAAGGGAAGGAGGTGTCGTTATAGCAGGTATGCAAGTGGCCAGAAGGGAAGCCAGTGGAAAAGGCCAACATGGTGTATTTGCTTTGATAAGTCAAGCAATGGGAAGAAGAGCAGAAGGACAAGGTGAGCCGACCAGGCCGGATGCTTTGCAGAAGCAATTTTTCCAGATTTGCAATTATTTCTATGTATCATCTCCTGAACAAGATCATTTCAGATGAACTCGGAAATTCTTCTGGCCACAACATCCAGTGGTATCTGACTGAGAAATCAAGGTGAGGCCGAGGCTTCTGTGTGACTTGAAATTTGTCCTTTTAGGGTGACACCTTCATACTCTCTCGGAAAAGTTCACTGAGACATTACAATGCAAGAGTTGTGTCATTAATCTTAGCATTTCCTGTGGCCGGCACAAAAAGGTCCTGAATAAACATTTGTGGAAGGAATGAGGAGAGGGAAGAGAGGGAGGAAGGTAAAAGGGAAAGAGAGGAAGAGGGATGATGGGAGATTACGCGACATGGGCTGTGAACAGCTCCAAGATGAGTTGCTCTAGACACATGGGCTGCATCTGGGTGACCTTCGGTGGCTTCTTTCTCAGTAATACTTTCCTCTCACCGTCTCCAAGATTTTCTTGCTCTTTTCTGGCTGTCGCTGACCTTGTTAGTGAGGCAGCCCCAGAAGGGGACAGCCACAGCCACACCCTCGAGGGCATGTGCTTATTTTGCTATTTAGTTTAGAATGAGCAGTCAAAATGGGAAGGATCCTATGAAGTCACCCTTGACAAAGTGCTAATATCCGTTAAGGCTAAGCGCATGAGAAAGAGCCAAGCGTTGCTTGCCCGAGTCCTACACCAGAGTTTGCGAAGAGTTACTCACTGCGATTTGGGGTAAGCTGCTAAGTACTTGTTTCTTTCTCACTGGGCTCTTCTGACAATTGTACCACTAATTTAAGTACAGGTGCTCTTGTATCTCTTCTTGCAATAATGTGATCCTTCTCACTCCTACAGTTTATCTTTGTGGTTTTCAGTTTAGGCTGAAATATTTCCCTTTATTACATAGGGCAGGGATAAAAGCCTTGTCTCTCAATAGGGACCAGGGAGAGGGGGCGTATGTGGCCCGTCTCAAGGGGCAGCCACCACAAAGTGTCAGCTGGCATTTTTTTTTTACCTGATGACTTCAATTTGCAAATCAATGCAAAAAAAAATCCTCATCTTCATGTGAAACCTCCTGATTTTTAAAATGTTGTCAAAATATCAGTTTTGTCAAATATGGCAGAAGACATGGTGGGTAGAGAACAGAGAAAATCAAGGCAACCCACGTGCCAACCCTCTGCCCTAAAATGAACTGAAGAGATTCAGGGGCGGTTTTGCTTCCCATGACATCATGTAGTGATGCAGATGTTTCAAAATGCACTTGTAAAATGTTTACTAACTCACTCCTGTTAACCTGTGGTTGGTGAAGATCAGACGGAAATATTTCACTATCAAAATGGTGTGCACCTGGGAAGGGTGGTGGTTAAGAAATCTGTTTTAACAAATATGTTATGCGGTATTTTGGAAAGGCAATTTTTAGTAAGTATTCATACATGTGTTCAGATGGCTTTAACCTACAGTTTTGTGCTGTTGGGCACATGAGACAATGTACCCACTGGCTCCTACAAATCAAGAAGACAATTATTAAACTAGCAAGAACTAGGTGGCCCTTTCAGAGAGGGGTGACTAGTTAATTTACTTAGGACAGCAGGAGGGAAGAGGGAAGTAAATGATGATACAACAAGCTTTTGCACCGCTGACCCGCTTCGAAGACTTAACCTTTGTACTCACAAATAGTTATCTGAAAGATTTCTAAGGTATGAGTGGAAATAAGAGCAGATCGCATTACCTACATCCCGAAGGTCGAAGGTGCAGATTACCACGGTAATGAAGCTTCAGTGAGCTGCTTCAGATGTATTAGGTTTGTCGGTTTTTATAAGCATGCTTTCTTCAGGCATGCAATTATACCATAAAGATGTATATTGGTGAAAATTCAGCAGCAGGGTTTGACCAGAAGCATTCAAATGTCAGTGGAGGGGGAGGGCATGTGCCTTTATGAAGAGGCTTTTAAGATGGATCAGGAGGTGAGGGCGAAATAGAGAGGAAGAGGGAAATGAGTGAAAATTTGTTATTCAGTGTACATAAAATCTACCTTCAGATAAAAACTTTGTTTTTCCCAGAGGTGTCTCAGGGGATAATTGTAAGCATCAATTAACTGGTATTCTTCCATTTAAATGGTTTAAGCAATCCCAATAGCAGTGACACCAATTATTCAGAAACCTACGACCTTATAAAAACTCTAGGCACAAGTGACAAACACAAGGCCCATGGGCCGAACCTGGCCCTCCACCTTGTTTTATCCAGCCTGGTACCTCGTTTCTACCCGGCGGCAGCGCCAAGCTCCTGGCCCCTAGTTAAGGAGTAGTTACACTTACACAGTCCTAAAGTGACATTTGGCCCTTGGAAGGCAACTGCAAGGCTGATGCGGCCCCTGTGAAATGAGTTTGACATCCTGCTACAGTGATTGTCTTCTGAAGAAATGAGTTATTTAGTGGCAACACTGACCAACAAAAACAGTACTAATTTTAATTTATAATCAATGTCACTTAATACTGGTTTTAATTCACAGTTGATACAACATAACATTGGGGCAAATCCACTTGGAGGCTCTACAGTAAATAGGAAGCATTTCTCTTCTTCGGCTGTAAAGAAACTCAAGACGGAATCAGAATCCAAGCCAGGAGTAATTTTACATCTTTTCATATAAATGGAGATGATTACTCAAGTGGGTACAGTTTTCTTACATAAATACACATTTTAATTTGGGCTTTCCATGTCAGTGTATCTCAATATCTAGTTATATTCTAGCAAATTTTGATTCCATTATTTGCCAGATCTGAAGTCATACAAGAATGATTGCAATATATATTTCGGTGATAAATTCAGCTCTGTTTTATTTTTTCTGAAGGTGATAATGGATCACTATGAACTAATAGGTCAGCTGTTAAATGCTACCCCACTGACCAAGTGGATCCGAAATTTCAGTTATTGTAGTCTCTAAAGTTCCAGAGAAAGGTCACATCCATCTGAAAACTCTCCTAACGCCTGTCGAGAGGTGCTCTGAAGGGGGCCAGGGCATGCCCAGTTGGTGGCCAGCTGTCACCCTTGCCTGCCTCCAGCTGGAACTCTGTCCATAACCAGGGCTGACGATGACTCACGTTACTGCACTCCTAGTGAAACCGTTCTTGCTAACACCTGAAGAGTGACAAGATGTGGGGCCGAATTCTCTGCAGGAAAGTGTGCAAGTTAATATGTGGGCACTTCCATCGCAACTGGCAGGGGTGGCAGAGAGGACATTCCCCACCTGGAAGGGACAGAGGATGGAGCAGGGAGAAAGACAGCCGGCCTCTGAAAAATAGCCCAGGGACCTCGGCTTTTTGTTGTCTCGGTTTTTTAACATGTCCGTTTTCAATTCATTTAGGGACTGCTAGGGTGAGGACAAATAAAGACACAAGAAGCTTCCTTACTTGGTTTATCCCATTGCACGTCTACAGCCGTGTGGTTCAGGACAATCACGGAGATATTGGCTCCTCTCTGTGGGACACCTGCTAATGTTGTCACTGTCACTTCGTGGCTGGGTGTGAAACCCACACTGTTGTGGACAAACACTTTATATGCGTATGTTGTGAACCTGAAAGGTTTTTTCAAAAGACATATATTAACTTCTCTTTTCCAAGAAAAGACAATTTCTTTTTTACTTACAATACCAGATTCCTCCGCCCCAACAGAATACACAACTTTCTTTCCCCTTACAAAATACATTATTTTATTTAGCTACACCCAAGAAAACCCACATTATTTTTGTAATTCTTGAGCCTCTACCAAGTGTCAGGGAAATATTTTATTTTTTTTTTAAATAAGCAAAGACTGCTACTGAAAACCAGCGTGGTTTGCCATCTTCTCGAGCTTGCTGTTCTCAGAAGTAGTGAGGATGATGGCTCCATTCAAGACACAATTACAAGTCTGGCAACCTGCCAGCTTGCTATCTGAATTGGATCCCAGGAGCTGCACGCTCTTCTTTTGGGAAACTCATCCATTTTTAAATATCAGCATCTCTCATCGCCATTTTCTTCCTGTACCTACACTCCTTTCCCCAAATCTCATTGGCAGACAGATAAACCCTTAAATTAAATAGTAACTGTGACCAAAGCCAACCGCATTGCCCCGCTGAGAGTTTTGCTACAGGGAGCTGCGCTGTGCCTTCCCGTGAAGATATTTACTCCAGTTGATACAGTGGGAACTGAACGTGGCCTTCTAGGAGGAGGAACCTGACAATGTGGCAAGAACTTCCCAGGCTGTGTGTTAAATTAATGAGAGGGTAAAGCCACCGATTCCTCAACCTCTTCAGCTTTTTTGGGCAGAACACAAGCTGGTTTTCTTTGTTTGGTTCAAAAATGCCTGGGCAGGAAAATGCTATTTGGAGAAACATTTGGACAATAACTTAGACCAAGAAATTTTTTTGAAACACTGCACAGCCCGTGCCTGGGTGGCGTTCAGTGCTCAGGGCTGACTCTGGCCGCTGATCATCATCCACTGATTTGGGTTGAAAACAGCACCAAAGGCACCTCGCATCAGATGCAGGGCCCATGGAATGTGTCTCCGTAGGTCACGACTCACTAATCATGACAAGGGGAGGGTGCCATTTGCAGGGTTGTGCTACGTGGAAGCTACGTCAGCATTCTCACGACACTTGGCTCCCACCCATGTGGAAGTCTGTCTGCCTTCCCTTGTTCCTCACTCATGGCCAAGTACACTTCTCAAGGCTCTGCCTCAGCTGCAGTATTTCTCATGACTGCACACCAGGGAGACAAACGATACAATTTCAAAAATGGGCAAGGAACCTGAATGGATACTTCTCCAAGGAGGACATACAGAGAGTCCAGAGACATATGAAAGGATGCTCAGCATCACTAACCATCAGAAAGATGTAAATTAAAACCACAATGAGATACTATTTCACACCAGTCAGAATGACCAGCATAAACAAATCAACAAAGAACAAGTGCTGGCGAGGTGGTGGAGAGAAGGGAACCCTGGGGCACTGCTGGTGGGAATGCAGACTGGTGCAGCCACTGTGGAAAACAATATGGAATTTTCTCATAAACCTAGAAACAGAACTGCCTTTTGACCCAGCAATTCCACTGCTGAGATTATACCCTAAGAACCCTGAAACACCAACCCCCCAAAATTTATGCACCCTAATGTTCACAGTAGTACAATTTATAATGGCCAAGCGCTGGAAGCAACATAAGTGCCCATCAGTAAATGAGTGGATCAAGAAACTATGGTACATTCAGACAATGGAATTCTATGCAACAGAAAGAAAAAAGGAGCTCCTATCCTTCACAACAGCATGGATGGAACTGGAGAGCATTATGCTGAGTGAAATAAGCCAGGCAGTGAAAGACAAATACCACATGATCTCACTTATAAGTAGAACATAATCAACCAATCAAACAAGCAAGCAAAAATGGAACCAGAGACATGGAAACAAAGAACAAACTGACAGTGACCAGAGGGGAGGGTGGAGGGGAATAGCAGGGATAAGAAGAGGAAGGGTCAAGGAGCATGTGCAAAGGACCCATGGACATGGACATGGAGGACAGGGAGAGGGAGGCCTGCATGTGGGGGGTGGGGGGTTAGGGCAGGGGAGAGTGATGGAGGAGATGGGGACAACTATAACTGAACAGTAATTAAAAAAGGGGAAAAATAATTTAGTGATTTCTTTAAAGCAATTTATCTATTTCCCTAAAATAAATAAGTACTGGCATCAGAGCTACATCTCTCTGCTTCATCTCCCTTTGTGACTTTCTGCTTTGTATGCTAGAGTGGGCTGGGTCATCCGCCTCACCACCAAAACAAAAAGATATGTTTAAGTCCCAACACGTGGTACCCACCCATGAGACCTTATTTGGAAATAAGGTCTTCGCAGATGCAACTGAGTTAAAATGAAGTCAAGTTGGATTTGTGGAAAGTCTTAAATCCAATGGACTGATGCCCTTACAAGAGAAAAGAGACAGGAATTTTGACACAAAGGGGAACCACCAGGGGGAAGATGGTCACAAGAAAAGAGGGCAGAAATTAGTTATTCTGCAACAAGCCAGGAAGCAGCTGGGTGACCAGTGGTTGGAAGAGGTAAGAAATTTTTCTTCAGAGCTTATGGAGGGGACATGGCCCACACAACACCTTGACTTTGGGCTTTTGGCCTCCAGAAACTGTGGGAAAGTATCTGTTTGAAGTCACCTGGTTTGTTTACAGTGCCCCGACTAAGTGACACATACTCTATGTAGCAAGTGCTAAATAAATAGTCCACTTAACCAGACAACTGAGGGGGAGTAATCATTGGCATTCACTCAGTTCTTAATAAGTGCCAGGAAGTGTCCACATGTACCAATTCACTAGTGCCTCGCAATCAAACCTGGCAAGGCACTATGATAATATCTAGTTTGAAAATGAGGGGGGAAAGCCTCAAGGAGTTAAATAGTCATCTCTGTCATCAAGGTAGCAGGCGGGAGAGTGCCGATTCAAACCTAGGCAGTCTGATCCCAGAGCCTGCTCCTTTAACCGTGAGGCTACACGGCCGCCATGACAGTAATGACAGTGTTGATCTCCACTGCGGTGACAACCGCAGGGATAACCTGATCTCTCCACACTTGGATGGTGTCATAGCCCTGGGGCTTGAACTTGAGTTATTTTTCTAGCCGAGGTGAGAGATTTTTGCTTACACATCCATACACTCTCGCCAAATTTCCTTTGTAGCCACTAATATGAATTTGAAGGATGGTGAGTCGGGGTTAAGAGCATAGCAAGTGTGTGACAATCGAATGAAAGGAAGCTAATGGCTCACCTGGGAATTGAACCGGCGACCTTGGCTTCATTAGCTTGCTCCCCAAGTAAAATACTTTTGTGTTTTACTCTATAACATGGCTGAAGAGAAATTTAGCTAGAGTCTGGGTGCCTAAGCTTGAAAATTTGAATTGTTCTTCCATGTGTCTGATATTATATATTAAGCAAACTTTATGGCTTTAAATTTTTGTAGCTCCTTTCTGTAAGTGGGATTAATATCAGATGGCACTGAATTGGTAAAATGTAAATAAATCCTGTGAGTCCTTAGCTCTTCCAATGATACTTTGAGCTATTTCCTCAGAACTTAGGAATGGCGAAATGCACAATTCATGTCTTCGCAGACATGAAGGACACATAGACACATGTCACTGACATGTCTGTTTTTGAAGTAGTATTCACATTTTAGAGTGAGAGATGGCTTTACAGTTTATCTGCTTCAAAAATAAAACATCTGCCACATTTCACAGATAAGAAAACTGAGGCTCCGAGAAGTTACATGGCTTTTGCCTAAGGACACAAACTAGTTAAAACAAGCAGGCGGGCCTCTAACTTCCTCATTTCTAATATTCAATCCTTCCCAGTATTCAGGATTTTATTTAACTGAGAAATCATAGGCATTGTACTTCATGCCATGCCCTTGTCTTCTGCATTTTCTTTAACTTTCTTGGGTAAGTTAAAATGTTAATAAAATATTGAATTCCCTTAAGTAAAATACTTTTATATCCTGTTTTCACTGTATCTGAAACCTAATCTTTAGGTAAGTACGTGTACCTCTGACTGCTTATCAGTCTATGCATCCCTTCATGTTAGAGAAGAGTGCCTTCGTGAGCTTGCAGGGCTTTTTTAATTCACTCTAGGTCCAATGCGTGTTTTAGATGGACTTAGATGTTGATTATTGATATCAACTGGGACATTCCATTTAGTTAATAATATTTGTAAATGAAAGCGGCCAAATTGACTTTATATACTCATGCAAAACTTATGTATATCAATTTCTCCTTGAAATACTACTTGTGTTCTCTAGGTGGTTCTTGAAAAATGAAACAGTTTTGGAAATCAGAAGAGTGAATGAACACATCTTGAGTCTATACTGTAAGTAGTAAAACCAGTTGCTGGAAGGTCAGTTTAGGAATGCGGTTGCAGCAGTTCTTGTATTAGTGACTAGTACGTTTGAGACCGTCCGCAAGACCTTGCCTTTACCAATACCCAGGAAATGGTAAGCTTGGCTGCACTATAAACCCAACTATGGTGTTTTTCCTTGTAAAAGACAACAAATATTAAAATCTTATTTATGGAAGAATACTCATTTCAAGGTTCAGTTGTTATTACTCAAGTGAATTAGAAAACTAGGTTGTGTTTGGGTGATGAAGTTTTTAATCTGTGTATTTACTGAGGAGATAATTTTGTAATGAATGAATGAGTGGATATTTCATAGTCACTAAAGCGGTCAGTCTCGTAACTTTCAGTTCATATATAATTTGATAAACTAGTTGTCCAATAGAGAAATGGCCCCTACCAAATTGTAGGAACTTGCTTAGTTTATAAATCATATTGTTCTCTCATGTTTGATACACCATGGCTTCTTTCATTAATTTTTTTCCCTCATTAAAAAATTCTGTAATGGACACTAACAACACTCTCAATGCTGAACACATTATCATGCAGGCTAGGTATTAATGACAGGGGACTCTGTCCAGTGAAGACATCTGTCCAGTGGGAAGGCCTGTCCCAGGGCAAAATGTGTGAAGGCTTATATCTTAACTGAGTCTGAAGTGTGTTTTGGGG